CTTTGTGTGGGTGAATTCTATGCTGTATGAATTCTATCTCAATAAAGTTGTATTAGAAAATAAAAATAATGAAGCATAGAAGTTATGGAGAAAGAACTCAAGGAAGAGGCAGCCAGACAACAGTAGGATGTGAAACAGGAACCAGCAGAACAAAAAAAAAATAGAGAAAAATAATCAAGCCATTTCAGGAACACAAATTATGAGTACACAAGGGAGGCTAGACACCATGGCAAAGATCATAAAAGAAATTTTATGGTAAGTATATTTTACCACAATTTTGATAATGCAAAGAAATGAAACAATGTATAGACATGAGAAAAGTGAGTAAAACAGGTATACATTTATTATTGATGCATAATGTACATAATTTTAGGATACATGTGATAATACATTCATATAATTTGTAAAGATTAAGTCAGTGTAGTTGGAATATCCATCACCTTAAATATTTCTCTTTCTTTGTGCTAGAACCACTGAAATTCTTCTCGTCATTTTGAAATATGTCATAGATTGTAAACTACAGTCAACCTACTGATCTAACACTAGGTCTTAACTTCTTCTCTCAAACCATATATTTATACACATTAATCAACTCCTCTTTATTCCTTCCTTCTCCTACGCTTTCCAGCCTCTGTTAACCACCAAATCTACTCTCTGTTTTTATGAAATCCACTTTTTTTTTAGCTTCCACATATGAGAGCATGTGATATTTGTCTTTCTGTGCCTGGCTTATTTTACTTAACATAATGATCTACAGTTCCATCAGTGTTGCTGAAAATGGCAGGATTGGCCTGGCACAGTGGCCCGTGCCTGTAATCCTAGCACTTTGGGAAGTCAAGGCAGGTGGATCATTTGAGATCACCTTACATGGTGAAACCCTGTCTCTACTAAATACACAAAAAAATGAGCCGGGCATGGTGGTGCGTACCTGTAGTCTCAGCTACTTGAGAGGCTAAGGCAGGAAAATTGCTTGAACCCAGGAGGCACAGATTGTAGTGAGCCAAAATTGCACCATTGCACAACAGACTGGGACACAGAGCAAGGCACCATCTCAAAAAAAAAAATAAATAAAGGAAATGAAAATGGCAGAATTTCATTCATTTTTATGGCTGAATAATATTCCATTGTATATACTACATTTTAAAAATTCGCCTCTTGATGGACACTGAGGTTGATTTATATTTTGGCTGTTGTGAATAGTGCTGCAATAAATATGGGAGTGCAGATGTCTTTTTGATACGTTGATTGTTTCTTTTGGATATATACCCAGTAGTGGAATTGCTGGATCAAGTGGTAGCTCTATTTTTATTTTTATGAGAAAGCTCCATACTGTTTTCCATAGTGGCTGTACTAACTTACATTTCTACCACACTGTGTAAATGTTCCCCTTTCTCCACAGCTTTGCCAGCATTCATTGTTGCTTGTCCTTTTAATAAAAGCCATTTTAAGGCTGGCCATGGTGACTCACGCCTGTAATACCAGCACTTTGGGAGGCCAAGGCAGGCAGATCATGAGGTCAGGAGATTGAGACCATCCTGGCTAACAGTGAAACCCTGCCTGTACTAAAAATACAAAAAGCCAGGTATGGTGGCATGCACCTGTAATCTCAGCTACTCAGGAGGCTGAGGCAGGGGAATTGCATGAACCCGGGAGGCGGAGGTTGCAGTGAGCCAAGATTGCGCCACTGCACTGCAGCCTGGGCGCTCCATCTCAAAAAATTAAAACAATTTGAAAAAATAAATAAGCCATTTTAACTGGGGTAAGATGGTGTCTGATTTCTCTGATCATTTATGATGTTGAGGATTTTTTCGTATATCTTTTGGCCATTTTTATGTCTTTTGAAAAATGTTTATTCAGGTCTTTCACCTGTTTTTTAATTGGACTATTTGTGGGTGTGTGTGGGGCTGTGTGTGTGTGTGTGTGTGTGTGTGTGTGTTTGCTTGCTTGCTTGCTTGCTGTTGTTTGAGCTCCTTATATATCCTGGTTGTTAATCTTTTGGTAGGTGAGTAGTTTGCAAATATTTTCTCCCATTCTGTGGATTGTCTCTTTACTTCATTGTTTCCTTTGCTGTGCAGAAGCTTTTTTTTTAGCTTGATGTAATCCCATTTGTCTATTTTTGCTTTGGTTGCCTGTGCTTTTAAGTTCTTAAACAAAAAAAACTTTGCCCAGACCAGTGTCCTGGAGCGTTTTCTTCTAGGAGTTTCATAGTGTTGGGTCTTAGATGCCTAGACGTAAGTCTTTAATCCGTTTTTGTTTTTTGTGTATGGTATGTTTCATTCTTCTGCATATAGTTACCCAGTTTTCCCAGCACCATTTATTAAAGAGACTGTTCTTTTCCTATTGTATGCTTTAGCTCCTTGGTTGAAGATGAATTGACTATACATGAATTTTACACCTGGCTTCTCTTGTTCTGTTCCATTGGTCTGTGTGTCTGTTTTTATGTCAGTGCTGTAGTTCTGTAGTAAATTTTGAAGTCAGGGAGTGTGATGCCTCCAGCTTTGTTCTTTCTGCTCAGATTGCTTTGGCTATTCAGGGTCTTCTGTTGTTCCACATAAATTGTAGGATTTAATATTTCTGTAAAGAATGTCATTGGAATTTTTATAGGGATTGATTGCATTTAATCTATAAATTGGCTTTGGGTAGTATTGTCATTTTAACAATATAAATTATTTCAGTCCATGAGCATAGAGTATCTTTCCATTTTTTAATGTCCACTTCACTTTCTTTCATCATTGTTTTATAGTTTTTCTTGTATTGATCTTTCAGTTCTTTGGCTAAGTTGATTCCTACGTATGCTATATTCTTCGTAGCTGTTGTAAATGTGATTGCATTCTTGATTTCTTTTTTAGATTGTTTGCTTCTGGCTTATATCAGCACTACTGATTTTTGTATGTTGGTTTTGTATCCTGTAACTTTACTGAATTTGTTTATAGATTCTAACAATTTTTTGGTGGAGTCCAGGTTGTTCAAGGCGAATCACTTAAACCTGGGAGGCATAGGTTGTAGTGAGCTGAGGTTGTGCCACTGCACTCCAGCCTGGGCAACAGGGCTAGACTCTGTCTCAAAAAAAAGAAAAAAGAAAGAAAGGATTTAAATCTATCCTCTATTTTGGGCCAGGGAAAACTGGCCCAAAGTTTGAACTGGCAAAAGATGATATAAAGAAAATGAGGTTGGTGCAGAATAACAGAAACATGCAATACCCAGAAAATAGTAGAGGAGCTACCTGTCAGCTACTCAAAGAAAGAACATGTGAGCCAAATACTGTTTTTGTCCTGCCATGGTGTCCTTTGGGTATAAAGACTACTTAGTGGCTGGTAGTTTTAAACATTCAGGGTTTTATATCTTTTTTCCCCCCCTCATTAAGCTTTTTTAATGGGTCTGAAAATTCTGTGACAAATTTTTGGTCAAGTTGTTTCCATTAAAGAGTGCTGATTTTAAAAACTAATAACTTAAAACTGCCACAGCAAAAATGAAAACCAAGGTGGTCCACAAAATATTCTTTCCTTCTAAAGGTTTTACGACGCATTGTTACCATTAACCAGTCTTTTACTACTAAACTTAAATGGCCAATTGAAGCAAACTGTTCTGAAACCGTTCTTCCACCACTGATTAAGACTGGGGTGCCAGGTATTAGGGATAATATTCATTTAGCCTTTCAGGCTTTGTGGGCAGACTTGGTGACCTTGCCAGCTCCAGCAGTCTTCTTGTCCACTGCTTTGATGACACCCACAGCAACTGTCTGTCTCATATCACGAACAGCAAGGCGACCCAGAGGTGGATAGTCTGAGAAGGTCTCAACGCACGTGGTGTTCTTGACAGGAACCCTATCAACGATGGCAGCACCACCAGATTTCAAGAATTGAGGGCCATCTTCCAGCTTTTTATCAGAACGGCAATCAATCTTTTCTTTAAGCTCAGCAAACTTGCATGCAATGTGAGCCGTGTGACAATCCAGTACGGGGGCCTGGATGGTTCAGGATAATCACCTGAGCAGTGAAGCTAGCTGCTACCATTGATGGGTTGTTTTATATGAGCCTTTCTTGAGTAAACAACTAGAAGACAGATACCAGCTGATCAGTAAATGAAAAAGGAAACTTCAGCAAAAGAATTAACTGCTAAATTCTCAATAATTAACTAGAAGATACTGTTAGGGATCATTGTCTTTCTAATTTTAAAGGGAGTACTTTAATGTCCCACCATTATATATGTAGGCTGCTTTCTAGATATCTGTTTATCAATCTATTTACTATGAATTATCTTTTTAATCTCAAGTGGCTGTTGAGTTTTATGAACTATTTTTTCTATAGTAAGGCATAGGTTTTTCTTTAATCTCTCAGCAGGATTACCTTTTTTTTTTTGGAGACAGAATTTCGCTCTTATTCCCCAGGCTGGAGTGCAATGGCTTGATCGTGGCTCACTGCAGCCTCTACCTCCCAGGTTTAAGCAAGTCTCCTGCCTCAGTCTCCCAAGTAGCTGGGCTTACAGGCATGCACCACCACACCCAGCTAATTTTTGTATTTTTAGTAGAGACAGGGTTTCTCCATGTTGGTCAGGCTGGTCTCGAACTCCTGACCTCAGGTGATCCGCCCGCTTTGGCCTCCCAAAGTGCTGGAATTACAGGCGTGAGCCACTGTGCGCAACTTCAGTATGATTAATTTTATGAATAAATTGTCTAATGTCATACCTTCCTTCCTTGAATTGAGCTTTACCTCAATCATGTTTTATGTTTTATATATATTGCTAGTTTAGGTTTTTCTGATGTTATTATTTAAGATTTTTTACATGTTTTGTCATTGATGATATTACCTTAAATTTTTTTTTTTTTTTGAGACAGTGTCTCCTGTGTCACCAGGCTGGAGTGCAGTGGCGTGATCTCGGCTCACTGCAACCTCTGCTTCCAGGGTTCAAGCAATTCTCCTGCTTCAGCCTCCTGAATAGCTGGGACTACAGGCACATGCCACCCCACCCAGCTAATTTTTGTATTTTTAGTAGAGATGGGCTTTCACCATGTTGGCCAGGATGGCCTTGATCTCTTGACCTCGTGAACCACTGTGCCAGGCCTTAAAATTTTCTTTTATAGTTGTTCCTTTTTGGGTTTTCATTGAAGATTGTGCTATGTAATTTAAGCAAGTTTTCATTCTGGGCCAGGCATGGTGGCTCAAGCCTGTAATCCCAGCACTTTGGGAGGCTGAGGCAGGTGGGTCACCTGTAGTCGGAAGTTTCAGACCTGCCTGGCCAACGTGGTGAAATCCTATCTCTACTAAAAATACAAAACCTAGATGGGCGTAGTGAGATTACAAAACCAGTAATCTCAGCTACTTGGGAGGGTGAGGTAGGAGAGTCACTTGAACCTGGGAGGTGGAAGTTGCATCACTGCACTCCAGCCTGGTGACAGAATGAGACTCCATCTCAAAAAAAAAAGAAAATTTTTTATTCTTGAGAAAAATGTTTATGTGGGAAAATTTCTGGGCTTGAAACTTATATACATGTAACAATTAACTCTATCAATTAATAGTTGTAGGTATATTCTGTTTTCTTAAGTAGGTTTTGATAATTATTTCTAGAAAATTCCCTTTTATGATTTCAGTTTTTTTCTATATTGTTTCGATTACTCTTATGATTTATAGTACCTGTAAATCACACCCCTTTTTATTTGTATTGTTTGTTTTCGGTGTCGTGTTTTGTCCTAGATTAATTTGACAAAATATATGTTAATATTTTTGTCAAAAAGCTAATCTTTCTTCGGCCATTTTTTCTTCTATTCAGTATCTGATCTTCTCTTTTTATTATTTGCTTTGGGTTTACTGTATTGTTCCATTTTCTAAGTTCTTGAATTGACTCTTTAGCTTGTTGATTTTTTAAAATGTTTTTCTTCCGTAATGTATACATTTGAAACTAACAGTTTTCTTGTAGATAATTCAGATAATATCTTAAGCTTAGATAAATCATGTTACTCTTTAACTTGTGAATCATTTATGAGTAAGATTTTTAAAATTTCCAAACATGGAGCTTTTGAGATTAACTTTTATGGTTACATTGTCATTTTACTTGATTTTGGTCAGAGATCAATTGTTTGTTAGTACTCTTGGCAGTTCCCTTACGGCCAAATTCATAACCAGTAGGTTTTGTTTGGGGGCTATCAGCTCAACTTTATTGAGGTCTGATTTTCATACAACAAAATGAACACAATTTAAGTATATAGTATTTTATATACTATATACTTAATTTTGGTAAATGTATATACCATATGACGACTACACCAATAAAAATATAGTGTGTGTCCATCACCCCAGAAAGTTCCCTTGTGCTTACCCTACTTGGCAGTCAATTTTCCTATTCTTGCCCCGTGCTGTAGGCAATCAACAAAAGGCTTTTTATCACTATAAATTAATTTTTCTGCTTCTTGAACTACATATGTGTAGAATTCTACAGTATGTACTCTTTTTTTGCAAGAGCCGTATTCATAGGATAAACAAATAGCAAACGTACAGCCTTGGCTCCCCAAACTTTGCAGTCTCAGTGCAGAAAGATCATCTTCCAGCTGTCAGCTCAGACCCGGGTCATCAACAGTTTCTGGTTTCAGAACAGGTTCTACTACTGTCAAATGACCCCCCATACTTCCTCAAAGGCTGTGGTAAGTTTTACACAGATGAGGGCAGCAGAAAGAGCATAGTTGCTGATGGACACCATCTTTGTATACTCCACACTGACCTTACCATAGGCAAAGGCCCCCACCGCAGAAACAGTAGGATCACTGCTGGGCATTAGCTCACGCCGGGCACTAGCTCACAGATCACTGATAACCGGGATGGAAAAAGAAGTGCCAACTTTCATACATCCAACTGGAAAGTGATCTGATACTGGATTCTTAGTTACCCATGAGGCCACAAAAGTGGCCAAAGGTTCTGGGAATTCGGGTCTGGTGGTTCACTTCAATCAGAACATTCTTCTGTGTGTGGATATAAACTTGCAGCAAGCCAGCTCGGTTCAGGGGACTATCCATCAGCATCAGCAAACTCTGGTGGGCTATGTCTGGCCGCACTTCCCCAGGGTCCCGTCCATTCTTCAACAATGTAGACTTTGTGCTTGTCACAGTTGAGTAGCTCATATGTCTTCCCTACCTTGACTGTCTCCAGTCTGGCCCTTTCCAGCACCACAATAAGCCTACGGCCTCCAATCTTGTTTCCTGCCCCGACTCAGGGCCTCTTGGGGGCCACAGCATCCCAGTCCTGTGCCTGCTTCCCACTGCTTTGCTCATGAGCTACAGTATATACTCTTTTGTGTCTGATGACTTTTGCCCAGTTTAATGTTTTAAGATGCATGCATGTATATTTTGCTTTATCATTTTTTTTTTAATCAACTCACTGCCTTTGCTTTATTGCTGAGCACTTCAGATAGACACAGTGTCCACGTTACCACTAGGCCCTCTGGATTGTGGTTTACTTAGGTTCAAAATTTGCAGCAGGCTCACGACGAAACCTGCAAAGAGCTGTGGGTCTGAGATTCAGAAAGTAACGTTTAAATGCTCAGGGACAAAGGGGAGCATAGGCCAGGGCTGGATGCCCAGGGACCTGGCCGTCCTGCAGCGTTCGAGCCGCTGTCAAAGATATGCCCCTAGCCCAGTTCTTCCCTGGATAGTAGCACATGGTGTAATCATACACACAATCACACCACCTTGCACTCGACCCCAAAAGATTGTTTTTCATTGTTTTATTGCTGAGCATTATTATGTATGAATATACAAGTTTGTTCATTCACCTATTGATGAATATTGGAGCTGTTTCCAATTTTAGGCTACTGTGAAAAGCCGCTCTGATCATTCATGTGCAAGTGTTTTTTGTGGATGTGTTTCATTCTCTTAGGTAAATATCTAGGTATAGAATTGTTGGTTCATATGGTAAGTATGTGTTCATAAGAAACTGACATTATTTTTTTAGTTGACTATATAATTTTTCATTTAGCTTTATATTTCTACTAGGAGTGTTCCAGTTGCTCCTTATCCTTGCCAATGTTTAGTATTTTCAGTCTTTTTAGCCATTCTACTGGAGCAGTAGTATTTTATTGTGGTTTTAATTAACACTTCCCTGATAACTAATAATGTTGACCCATTTCCCATGTTTCCTTTTATTATATGCTTTCTTTTGTAAAATGTGAGTTTTTTATATATGCTGGGTACAAGTCCTTTGCAAATATTTCCCGTTTCTTAATAGTGATACCTTTGGAAGATCAGATGGTTTTAATTTTCAGGAAGTCTGATGTATACATTTTTCTAAGTCATTAATTTGGTGCCCTATGAAAACATTATGTACCCCATAGTCAAGAAAATTTTTTCCTATGATTTTTTTAATTTTATAATTTTAGCCAGTTTTAGTTTTTACGTTTGGGCCTATGATTCATTTTTGAGTTAAATTTTATGGTTCAAGGTATAGAGGTTGGAGGGTCATGTTCCCCCCCCACCCATTTTAGTTGTTCCGTAGCACCATTTATTGTAAAGACATTCTTTCTCCATGCAGTTATATTAGCAGTGTTGCTGAAAATCTGTTGGCTGGACTCTGTTCTGTTCCATTGATCTATATGCATTTTTAAAATATCAGTACCACATTGTCTTGAGTACTTCAGCTTTGTAGTAATTCTTAAAGTCAGGTAGTGAGTCCTTCAACTTTGTTCTACTTTTTCAAAATTGTTTTGGCTAGTCTTAGTGTTTTTTATGTAAATTTTAGAATCAGATCATCAGTTCCTGCATACAGAGATTGTGCTGAATCTATAGATCTATTTTGTATCTTAATATCCCCTAGCGAAGTTAGAAAACCAGGCAGTAATATCAAAGGGCACAAGCCCAGATTCAAGCTGGAAGACAGAGTTCTCCAGAAAGGATGCTTCCAAAAAAAAGAAACTGCTCAAACAAAATCGTTGGTCTGTCTTTATCCAGAGAATATTGTTAGATGTCTAGAATTTCAAGCTGAAATGATGATTGGTAACTGAAATTTAAGCAGAGCTATTTTAAATTCAGAAAACAAAACATGGTGTAAGAAAGGAACTTTACTACCCAATGTGGCTCAGCAATGATTAATACATACAGTTAAGTAGTGAAACCTAGGCCTAGCACAGTGGCTCATGCCTGTAATTCCAGCACTTTGGGAGGCGGAGGCAAAGGCAGGCACATCACTTGAGGCCAGGAGTTTGAGATCAACCTGGCCAACATGGTGAAACCCCATCTCTACTAAAAATACAAAACTTAGCCATGTAATCCCAACTACTGAGGAGACTGAGGCAGAAGAATCCCTTGAACCGGGGAGGTGGAGGTTGCAGTGAACCAAGATCGAGTCACTGCACTTCAGCCTGGGACACAGAGTGAGATTCCGTCTCGGGGAGAAAAAAAAAGTAAGCACCCAACTAATGTTAGCCATTGTTATCATTAATAACAATAGCTTCCTTATTAATAAGTACTTCCTAGGATAATGTTTCCATGGCAACAAAGAAAAAAGGAATTTGCTAACTTATCTGATGCCAGTGCACCATGCCTCATGTGCAGCAAGCCGTCAGTAAAGCTCCTTGTAGAGTCACACTGAAAGGAGCTTTAGAGAGGTAATTATAACTAAATGAGGCCTTCGAGAGTATAAATTTAACAAAATCCATCAGTTAGTATGTTTTCAGCTTCCAATAAAAGTTTAAACAATAAAGTCCAAAGATAGGGCAGCCCCCAGGTTAGTTTATTTCAACAGGTCAAGGATCTAGGTTCTTTCTGTTCTGTTCTGTCCCATGTTGGCTGACCAATCCCATGTTGGTTGCAAGGAGATCCAGGCAACACACCTTCAGACAAGATCGTAGGCTAGAAGATGGAGTCCTTTTCTAAGAAAGCTTTCCCAGAACACTCTCTCTGTAGACTTCCATTTATTTATATCTCATTGGTTGTAACTGAGTCACATGTTTATTCCTAAAACAATCACTATTCAAAGGGAGTAGTATAATTGCCGTAATGATCTTAGAGTAATTAAGATTCTCTCCCACACACACACTCACTCTCCCTCACTCATTTTCTCTTTCTCACACATACCCAAACTTCTGAACCATCGGATCTCCTGATACCTGAACAAAATTGTGGTTTTGCAGAACAGAAGTAAAAGGGATGTGATTGTTGGGCAGTCAGTCCATTCTGTCTTCAACCACTGTCTCAAAACATGTTAGTGGTAGAACCTGCACCAGAATCCTGGTCTCCCGATTTCTAATTTTTTCCTACATAGACAACCTCCTTCATGAATTATTATCAACATAGCTACTTTTCCTAAATAGACTTGACTGTATCCACACAATTCTACTTCCAGTTCTTTTTGGAGGAAAAAATGTGCTGTAAAACTATACATGCTATTTTTTGTGAAGCATATTGAAATCCTCAAATAATAATGCCACAGACTCATGATAAAAACTAAAAACTTTACCATGTTTTTGATCTTTTTATTTGTTCTTATTCTTCTCCCCTCTTCTTTCCGTAATCAGTCATATTAAACTATTTGCAGTTCCTTTAACCTAGTATGTTTATTACCTCCGTTCATTTGCTCACGCTATTTCTACTATCTAGAAAACGTACACACACTAGTTTCCTTTTTTGGCTTCCTCATTTGAGTATCTTCTCAGAGATTTCAAGTATCTATGCTTCCATGAAATCTTTCTTGTTATATCTCCATCTCCATAAAATTGGTTATATCACTATATATCGACTATATCATGTTCCAGATACTCCTACACATTTATAGTTCTGATTTCTTTACAGATTTTTCTTTGTCTAGTCTGAGCTTGCTCTGTCCCTCCTTTCTTTCACTTTCCCTCCCTCCCTCCCTCCCTTCCTCTCTTCATTTCTCCCTTTCCTTCTTTTCCTCTCTTTTCTCTTTCTGACATGGTCTGGCTCTGTCATCCAGGCTGAAGTGCAGGGGTGCAGTCTCAGCTCACTGCAACCTCTTCCCCCCGAGACTCAAGCCATCTTCCCACCTCAGCCTTCCGAGTAGCTGGGGCTGCAGGTGCACTCCACCATGCCCGGCTAATTTTTGTATTTTTTATAGAGATTGGTTCTCACTTTGTTGCCCAAGCTGGTCTCAAACTCCTGAGCTCAAACAGTCTGCCTGCCTTGGCTTCCCAGATTGCTGGGATTACAGGCATGAGTCACCACGCCCACCTAATCTGAACTCTTAATGTAAAGACTGTTTCTCTGTAATAGTGTTTCTCATTTGTCTTGATAAATCCAAGATATAGCATGGTATTAGATGCATAATAGTCACTACGGATACTTTTGTTTAGTGAATTTATATACTATTAATTTGAGGGAGGAGATTTTTTAAAATTGTGTTCTGCTTGATTTTGTTATTTTCAACCAGTGCAATAAAGATGTGGTTCTGTGAAAGATACTTTTTTCAGTAAGGTAAAAGTGATTAAGAATAATGTATTTCTGTATACAAGATTTTCTTTAGAAGTTAAAGACTTTTGGAGGAAAAACATTTCAGATTATGTGTTACTGCTTATAGAGCAAATTTAGTCCTTAGCTGAGAATACTTGTCAAAGGAGGCAAATAAACATTACATAATTATTCCTAATGCAGATTAGATACTTGGTAAACATTTGTTTCTGTAGTAAATATGCTATAAATAGAATTATTCCACTTTATGATTTTTTTCTTTCTTCATTTTAGCATTTATGACATTAACAGAGAACAGGACTATGTCAAGAATTCTGAGGGTATACTTGGTGAAAATGAATTAAGACCACCCTCCCAGCTACCTTCTCTCTTAGAGAAGATTGAGACAGGGTGTCTGTCAGAAAAGAGTGGGTATTAAACTAAGTGCTATAAGTCATAACTAATGAATCAAGAATAGAATGATTAAAATGTTTTTAGTTTTAATTTAGATTATATAAAACAAAATTATGATTTCCGGTACCTGTAATTTTTTAAAATAATCATTAGGCCAAAAGTAATAGGTAATTAACTTTTCAAATTGCAACATAAAATATGTTCCTCTATTTGTATCTTTTAAATGGGTGCATTTTTATTTGCTTTTTGAGTTGAAATATTTTAAATGGTAAAAGTAATACATGCCTGTAAGATAAACCTATATGTATAAGGTAAAAAATGTAAGTTCCCGTTTTATCCACTTTCGAATTTCAGTAGCCATTGGTTTAGCCATTATTAACAGTTTGGCTTTTCACCTTTCTAGATCGTTTTCTGTACACTTCCAAACAAATTATGTATTTTTCAACCAAGTGACATCATGTAATGTAGCATGTAATAGATATCTTTATATGCCAGTATGTACAGATTTACCTTGTTGTTATTTAATAATTGCAAGTTATTCCCTATTGATGGCAATTAATGTTATTGCCAGTATTTTCACTATTAAAGATACTGATGCACATGGAACACCTCTCTCTCTCTCTCTCTCTCTCTCTCTCTCTGTGTGTGTGTGTGTGTGTGTGTGTGTTAGTATTTCTCAGGAATAGATTTCTAGAAATGAAATGGTTAATGAGTATACACATTTAAGATTTTATTTAGGTCCTACCAAATTGTTCTCTAAGAAATTACATTTATCTAAACCCAGATATCCTTTATTATCTTCAAAGTAAAAGTAATACATTTTAGGATTAAGTAACAGACTGTTCCTTCAACAACTATCAAATGGCTTACTTAGACTAAATGAAGGATATAGACATCTTGAGTATTAATGAAGGGTTGCGATCCTTCTATAGGAAGATGTAATCATGAAAATATTTGGAAGATGTACAAGTGGCTAGTTTTGTTAGAATTTCTGTGACACCTAAGATGTTGACATTAATTTATCTCATCATCTACTTTCAGACCAGATGTTTCTAAAATGGAAAGCAGGTATCTGTGATCTGGCATTAGAAGTTGCTTTGTAATTTTCTCATCTCTATTAAGAGTTAAAAAGAGAGACAAGTGTGTAAAACTAGTCTTGCTCAGTACCTCTAAGGGATTTTGAGAAGGGAAGAAAGTTATTGCAGTTACTTTGACTAGAAGCTAACTTGTATTAAGCTGGACTTAACATTTAAGACTAAACTCACAAGTAGAGGAATATGCCAAAAGCCAAATACTACAGGAAAACTCAATTTTCAGGGCCATTGTGATTGAATTTTACCTTTCTCCACATGCTCTTTGTTGGTCATTTAAGCCCTAAGGAATATACACAATACTTCATAGGCAAGCACTTTTCAAGTTACCTTCTTAGATTTTTAGGTTTCTTCATAGTACAGCCCCCTCTTCATTTTAATAGTCTGATCATCTCTTTTGTTTTGAGACAGTTTCACTCTTTTTGCCCAGGCTGGAGTGCAGTGCCAAGATCTCCGCTCACCGCAACCTCTGCCTCCTGGGTTTAAGTGATTTGCGATTTCCCTGCATCAACCTCCCGAGCAGCTGAGATAACAGGCACCTGCCACCAACACCCAGCTAATTTTTATATTTTTAGTAGAGACAGGGTTTCACCATGTTGGCCAGAATGGTCTTGAACTCCTGACCTTGTGATCTGCCTGCCTCGGCCTCCCAATATGCTGGAATTATAGACATGAGCCACTGAGCCTGGCCAATAGTCTGATAATCCTTAATGTTTAAATAAAGCTTGAGCATTTCTCAGCAAAAATGAGACCATTCATTCATGAAGTATTTGTATTGATTGGTGCACTAATTGGACTCTCAAATGAAAGTGTATTTTGTAAAGAAGGGAGAGTGTCAAATTTCTAGATGAAATTCTCATCTATCTCCTCGTTTACTGACCAGGAAACTTGTGCTTTCTTGAGAGTGTAATTGATATCATTATTTGAAGCCATGAAAGATTTAAGATTAGCTATGATTTTCCAAGAACTTTGCTTTTGGCATATCTGTGCTATCCAGAAAATCACTGCTTTTATGTATATACTGCTATCTGGAGAATACTGGCCTAAAGGGGAACCATTTTTAACCATAAATAAATAGTTCTGGAAATAAAAATATATAACCAAAAAAATAATTTACTACTTGTTCCTTCTCTGTTTTAAATCATTGGCTTTAGTTATAGTTTTATAGGGAGTAGTATTCCCCACACTGGTGTTAATGAAGTGTTCTCTGACCATGTATTTAGGACCTGTGTTAGTGTTTTTAATTGCATCATCGCTCCAGTTTCCCATTCATTATTGTGCATTATGATGCTCAAAAATGAGCATGTATATAACTTAAAGTCTGTACCTACCTGTTGATTTAGAATTTAGAGAAGTTGATAATCATAGTCTTCATTTCCAAAGTTAGTTTTAGGAACATTTCTTTGAGTGTAAACAATATGTTTCTCAAATACTGGGCCTTGGTCTATACATAAATCAATTTTGAAAATTTCTTTTTTTTAGACATCAAAGTTTCCAAAATTACTATTTCTAAAGGATTCTTGATTTGTGTTTAGGTTATCAGTATAGACAATTTGTAAAATGAATTTGAAAATGCAAAGGTAATAAAGCTTTAATTTCTACAATTATCACTGATATTTTGCTATTTGAATCTATTAAGAATATCCCTATTTTTTACAGCACTAGTATACTGATATTGAAGGAGAAAGTGAAACTGAGCAAAAGTAAAAGTAAAACTTAGAACGAATACATAAATCACGTATATCAACTTCAGAATATTCTTAAACATTTCATTCTTCTATTTACAATCTTTGATTTTGATACTTGGAAGTTTATTAAAATTTTAAATACCTTGATAATTAAAATATTAGGGTAGTTGAGTCCAAATTTAGCTTACTATAATTTTTCCTTTCATTTCTGAGATAGTCTAGTTTTTGTATATCTGTTACTTGTAAGTTAATTTTAATTGAGATTCTTTTTTCTCTTTAATTTTTGAACTTTAATACATTTATTTGGCAGTTTTGCTAAAAGTAGGAAGCCATATTACTATACTTCATAACATTTATACCATATGACCAGTGCTGTGTAAGTCATTCTCTTCTCATTATTTATAAATACTAGGTTTGTAAAACCCCCCAACCTCAATAAAGAGAATAGAAAGAATACAAATAGGAGAGTAAACAGTTAAATGGATAGATGCTATGAGTGTTTGTAGGTCATTAGGCTCAGTTCTTGCTGACGTAGAGATTTGTAAAATCAAAAGGCACAAAAAGTCAGTCAGCATAATTACTGGATCCAGTCAGTGATTCTCAATTAGGAAACATGCCTCTCATGGGAAGGGCATATCACAGTCTCTGACAGCTATCTCACGTGGGTATGGTTTGGAAAAAGCACCTTCAAAAAAATGTAAATATAGCTCTGTTGTATAAAATGAAAAAACATATATAATACAACCCATAGGAAGTAAAACTCAATAGATTCTTCTTGGCTGTTGAGGAATCCCTAGAGATACAATAATTTCTATTGTGTTTGGTGAGTGGGCAATAGTGAGCCCCTTAAAAGGAACCTAGCTGACTTAGGTATTTAACAAGAAGATGGAAGGTTAAGTTTATAAAGCGTGGTGTAGATTTTTTAAAAAAACCAAAGAATAGAAACATTAAAGGATGAAAAAGCTAAAGAATGAGGAATTGCTGTAAAAGTCTAAGCAATTGCTGACCACCACTTTGACACTACAGTTGCATCTGCTTTTGACCAACTACGTTTATAGTACACAGCTTTCAACCAAAAGGCATACAGGGTCTGGCAGGACATATTTTAGCTCCTGTGTTAAAAGTTCACCCTCAGTTGTAATTTATTTAGGTTATTTTTTTCACATCAGAGGTATTTTAAATTTTGTTAAGACAGTACAAATATTTCTTAGTTATATAGGAAAGGAATAGGTGACGTTTTGAGTGATAATTGTGTCCCCCTCAACTCCATCCTTTGGTATCTTAAATAGCTGCGTTATTTTTGTTTGTGTTTTACAGTTTTTCAGACAGTGTCCTTGAGTTCAGACTCTCTCTTCCAGAGGGCAGTTTCACTCCTTCATACTTCTTTCTTGGACTCTTCATCTGAGCATGGTTTTCAGTACAGTCAAGTGACTTTGGTGAAAAATGAGATTTTCTTAAATGAGGTGAGGTACTTGGTACACACTGTGATAGTTTGGTTTTAGTTTTAAGAGAGATAAACCCATCATTTTTGGTATATATGCCTAGCACTTTTTAGCTGTCCTTTTTCAGACGAAGTGGAAGATCCTTGGAAATAGTCACTTGGAATGTAATTATTTTAGGGAATAGAAAAATAATGCATTTACATTTGGTCTTGTAGCAGGAGGAATTTAAATTATACATTTTTAAAACTTAATTTTCAAGACAAAATGGCATGTTTATAGCGTTTGGTTATTCTCTCTTTACACAGTACAAAACTTTTTACCAACAAAAAAAAGCAAGTAACTATACACAGGAAGAACTTCAAGATACTTACGGGTTTCTTCTGTTTGATACTGAAGAGCAGGTAAGGGAATTAGGTTGTAGAAAATTAATGGTATCATTAGTCTTAAATATTGTAGTGCTTCAGTTCTGTAAGAGTTGTAAAATTACCAATTCATCAATGTTTTTGATACTTAGTTTGGTGACATGTAAACAATAACAATAAGAGCCAATGATGGAGATTTGATTTCTATAACTTTTGATAGTTTCTTTTTAGTTTTATCTTAAAAACATTTGTAAGCTTAGGGTGAAATTTGGATTAATACAAGTTTCTTTAGTGTCAATAATGCCCTTAAATAGAGTGAATGGATATTTTTCCATTCTGGATCATCGTTTACATAGATATTTTGTTTCCTGTGAAGATTTTTCTGGTTTAAATTACATGATTTGGGAGATTAACCTTGTAACTTAATAAACTTTGGCATTCTGGCTAACTGAAATTGTTGCATTTAATATTTGAAGACTGAAAATCTGTATTGTTACCTGTACCTAAATTATGGGAGAAAGAAACAACTGTGTATAGGGTATGTCGCCAGAGATATAAATGGCCTCCTAGATACATTTTAAACAATACCAGAGATTTAAAATAATTCAAAGTCAATGCTTCAATTAGGTTAATGGTTTATAAAGAAGGAGGGCAGATTTATGTAGGGGTTAGTTAGCACTAACATAAAATAAGGACTATATAGTAATACTAGAAGAGTTTAATCCCTTTTTAACTTAATCATCTAAATTCAAATAAGATGTTCCAGATTCTTACTAAAAATGACATTTGGCAGTTAGACATTTTGAAATTTCATGGTTCTAAAGCTGTAGCTGGAAAATAAGTCTTCGAATGGACTTATCTGTTACCCAGCTTAATATGGTTTTGCTGACATTTTTGTTAATAGAAATGGTAAAATTCTATGAAAAATTTGGGCCATTAATTAAAATACAGATTGTTTTGCAGATTTCTTTGTGCCATAAATACCTACAGTGAGCAGATTATTTATTTTAAAGCCTATAGATTAGGCCAGGTGTAGCTGTGGCTTATGCCTTGTAATTCCAGCATTTTGGGAGGCTGAGGCGGGAGGATCGCTTGAGCCCAGGAGTTTGAGATCAGCCTGGGCAACATAGTGAGACCCTGTCTCTATTATATTATAAAAAATAAAATTTTTAAAAAACCTTGCAGATTATAGCATTATTTCATTGCCTTTTCAAAGACTGAATCAAAGTAATATCTTATTTAAAGGCAAAATTGGTATGTCAGCGTGGACTCCGTGTTGGCAGCAGTGCTGTTACCACTCTGGGTGATCCAGCCAAAGGTAAGTCTGTAAAGAAAAAATAATCTTTTTTTTTTTTTTTTTTTTTTAAAACTTCTTTTACAAGATGAAGTGAGGTTTAGTTAGTTTTATAAGATACGTATATTAAAAGCCAGTTTCATTAATGTCAAACAGTTCATAATGTTTAGAGTTCGAACTTTAAATATAACTGAGATTTGAATCTAAAACTTAACAGTATTTTTCATTGTCAAGAGATTGGTATTGTCTTGAGAATCTCTTCGAAAGTACCACAGTGGCAGTAAGAATAGAGAATAGATAGAACTGACCAAACTTGGCACCTATGGAATGTGAGGGATAAGAGAGGAAGTAATCAAATATAAGCTTTTAAACTTACACTGTAGTGATAGTTATTAATAGAAAAGTGGTACAAAAGAAGAGAAGCACATTGGTAGAGAAGCCGATGAGTTAAAAAGAAAAATGTAATTGTCAAGAGAATGAATTAGCACTAATTGTTTTTAAGATACAGTTTCTTCATCTGTAAAAGATTAAACTACTTTATAGATTGTTGTGAGAATTAAATAAGACTGTCAAGTGTTTAGCCCAGGTTTGCACCTAGTAAGTTCTCAGTAAATGGACAGTACTACTTTGAGTTGAATTTGAGAAATAGTGAGATTTTCATAAGTGTTTCTGAAAGATAGCCTGTAGGTCATAAAAATAGTTGGGAAAGGGATCACAACTAGATTTGAGGCTGAGGTTGTGGAAGTGGGGTGTGAATTGAAGCTAAGACATTGTTAATGGGATGGCATGGAAAGAGAAGATGGCGAAAACAGAACTTTTGGGTCATTAATGGGACCAGGGAGGGTATGGGGAGGTCCAGCAAGTATAGAATGAGGAAGTGTCAAGAGCAGTCATGTAGACCCAGGAAATGGAGTTTCACAGAGAGCAGAAAGATCTCACGAAGGGTATTTAGCTCAGGTGCTACGTAGAACATACAAGTCAGAACTGGGAAAGATTACTGGGCTTCATGACTATAGATTCTTACCTTTCATATTTTTAAACTGCTTTATTAAGATTTAATTCAGTCATAGAATTCACCCATTTAAAGTGTACAGTATTTTTTAGTGTACTCCCATAGTTGGGTAACACTCAATTTTAGACCATTTTTGTAACCCCAAAAAGAAATCTCTTGGCCATTAGCAATGACTCCCCATTCTCTACCATCTCCACTCAAGGCAACCACCAGTCTACTTTCTGCTTTTATAGATTTGCCTATTCTGGACACTTCATATAAATGGAATCATATCATATACGGTCTTTTTTAAGTAACTTCTTTTAGCATGTTTTAAAGGTATATTGTAGCGTGAACCAGTAGTACTTCATTCCTTGTTATAATTGGATAATATAGTCCTGCAGCACTTAACAATGGGGATACATTCCAAGAAATGCATTATTAGGCACTTTTTTACTCAAGTGAACATCACAGAGTGTACTTAGACACACCTAGATGGCATAGCTTGCTACACACCTAGGCTATATGGTATAGCCTGTTGCTCCTATGCTACAAACCTGTACAGCATGTTACTGTACTGAATATTTAAGGCAGTTATAAAACAATGGTACATGTTTCTGTATCAAAACAGAAAAAGTACAGTAAATATATGGTATTACAAACTTAAGGGACCACTGTCCTTTATGCAGTCTGTTGCTGATCAGAATGTTATGTGGTACATGATTGTATTCTGTTATGTGGCCATACCACATTTTCTTTATCCATTCATCAATTCATGAACATATGGATTGTTTCTACTTTAGGGCTACTATGAATAATGGTCCTATGAACATGCATGTACAAGTTTTTGGGTGGACATAATGTTTTCATTTGTCTGATATATAATGAGGAGTGAAACCACTGGGTCATATAACTCTATAAAACAAACTTAAGATTTACATTCAACTCATCTTCTAAGGGACAGTAAAAGTGATAAATTCATAACCCCAGTAATACTGCATAAAACTTTTTTCTTCTCCCTTATTTTTTCACCCCACCTTCATTTAATTATGAAAAATTCAAACGTAGAAAAAGTAAAGAGCATAGTATAATATACCCATCACTTAAGTTTAACAGTTAATATGCATTATTCACTGGGTGCAGTGGCTCACGCCTATAATCCTAGCTCTTTCGTAAGCCATGGTGGGTGGATCCCTTGAGGCCAGGAGTTCGAGACCAGCCTGGACAACATGGCTAAACCTTGTCTCTACTAAAAGTACAAAAATTAGCCAGGCATGGTGGTGTGCACCTGTAATCCCAGCTACCCAGGTGGCCAAGACATGAGAATTGCTTGAACCTGGGAGGTAGAGGTTGCAGCAAACCCAGATCACGCCACTGCACTCCAGCCTAGACGAGAGAGTGACAGACTCTCTGTCTCTAATATACATATTTTTAGAGACAGAATGTGTGTGTGTGTATATACACATACATACAGAATGTATATTATATATACACATACATACAGATACTGTAGGTATATATGTGCTCTGTATGTATAGATACTGTATAGATAGAGGATATATACACACACACTCTGTATATATACACATACAGAGTGTGTGTGTATATATATGTATATATGTACACACATACACATTGCATTATTCCCTTCATTTGTTTGAATTTTTTTTCTGGAGAATTGGAAAGTAAATTACAAATAACCACTGTAGCTTACATTTCAAAAAAAAAAAGGACATTTTTCTACATTCCTTTAATCTTATGATTTCATTGCTGATGTTTGAGAAGCCGGCTTCAGTAGAGTAATGGAAGTAGAAACTGGATCGTTCCTGACAAATAGACATTCTTCAAACACACATATGCTGGGGTTGATAATAAAATTAACACTGCTACTTATATGTATTTGATAGTTTTTGGCTTGACTAGAACTGGATAGTTTTGTGTATAATACTACTAACACTTTCAATGAATAATAGTTTTTAAAGCTTACTGATCTTTTAAATCTTCATGAGCACCTGTGGTGTTTGTGTCTGTGACCCAGGCCCACCCTCCCCACCCTGAGTGATTTATTCTTACCTCGAACCCAAGCTTCTTACCACAAAATCATTGCTCTTGTCCACTCTGTCACAGTTTTCTCACTCAGTGTCTCTTACATTTCAAAAGAGATGTCTCACTTGAGGAATATCCCTGAAGCCTGTCCTTTCTTCCTCATTTTTCACTGCTGCTGCCTTGTTGGAATCCTCCTCTCCGGTCTCAACTATCACAGTAGCTTTCTAATTGGTCTTTTTGCTTTTACTTTCCTCTCTGATGAGCAATCTACTGCTTAATCTATATTTTATACTTTTACAGGTGTATACATTTCCAAATACTCCGACTATCTTCATCCAAGACCATGGTATCATGGGAAATCTGGTTATATTGTAATTTTTAATCTAATTAAGGTAAAGTCTAAATGTGCTGTTATGTGATTTCTTTTTAAAGTTGAAGGCTATCTGCCTTTAATATTCTCTGTAGATCTTAGCTGAACATAGTCCTCACTAAATTTAGCTATCCAAATTCAGGAAAAGCAAAACTATGTTTCCTTTTCTTTAAAAAGAAAATTTTTTACTCATTTGCTAGATTGTAAATTTTTTTTTTTAACTTCAAAAATAGTGAAAAGGTATGCAGAGAAAATTCTTACTCTCACCCGTCAGAGCTACTTTCTAAACATGAAATAACAGAAAACAAGTAGCTGCTTATAAGGTGATGTGATCACACTTAAAAAAGATGAATTTAAAAAACAGCATTCATTGTCTAATTTAAATGGTCAATATAATCTTTATTTTCTTTCTCCATTGACATCCAGATTCACAGCTTCATGTGGCACCTAGAACTGATGATGTCACAAATCCTAACATGCCCTAAATGGTACCGTTTAAGTGAATCATGCAATTAGAATTTTCAGCCAAACAGAAGGGAAACTGATTTTTTTTATGTGATTGGGCTTCTGATGACATTTCTGTGGTCTCATTTTATTGTTTTTGTTTTAGCTTTCTTACTGTCTTAAATTCTTTGGTTATCAGCCTAGCACTAACTGACCTTTAATTTAAAAAAAAAAAAAAAAAAAAAAGAAAGAAAGAAAAAGAGCGTGAACTCTTAATATTGTAAAGTTTGTTCTAGTAAACTGGTGGGAGAGTAACATTGCTTTGAAGTACAATTACTGGTTTTCCTTCCTTAATCTTATCTTGCTCTGTGATGAGTGCTGCAGAAAGTATGGCTACCAGTGCAGATAATAAGCATTTCGGTTTTTACTTAGATTAGATTATGCCTCAGCCTTGGTTTCTTGCCACTGGCTGGAGATTGCTGTTTTAGCCTCTGTCCTCTCAATCTTCATTTTATTTCACAACATCGAACCACACCTAGAACCGTAAAATGTTTGATGAGGAGATGGTAGAGGTGATTGGTTACCTATAAGTACTATTTGTATTTTTTGGCTTAGTGGTGGTTTGGCCTTTGGTGGTTCTATAAATGAAGAGGCAGGACTTAACAACAAAACATTTTCGCTTTTGAACATTTTTTAAACATTTTCGCATTTGAACACAGCGAAAATGGTAAGAAATAATGCATTGATTCTTTTAGTTTTTTTTTTTCTTGAGTAAATGTTTCATCATAATATTTATGCTTATGTGCATATTTATTGGAGTACATATTGTATATGTTAACTTTTTCCTATAGAGTTCTTAACCCCTAAAAGGAGTTTGTATATACTTATATGCTCATTCTTTTATAACTTAATAACATTATCTTGTGAATATTTTCTTATGACATTGTATTATTCAAAACAGCTTTTAAAATCATTGGCTATTTC